ACTATGGAGCAGAGCCAGACCGAACTTCCCAACCTCAAACTTTGTGGGCGGGACTAAGTTCAGAATGGCACCCAGGCTAAGAGATCAGTGGTCATAACTTGCAAACAGCGTGGCAGGCAAACAAAGCGGTGGGTGTTCCTCAGACCATGGATTCCAAAGGGAAAAAAAAAGAGGAAAGAGGATTCAAAGAAGAATGGATCGAATCATTTTCTTTCATTATCAATGCAGAAGGATTGCCTGCATTTTTGCTTTGTAATGAGAGGTTGTCAAAAAAATAAAAAAATGGAAATTTCTAGGAAAGGAAGGCTAAAAATGCAGCCGACCACCAAGTTGGGAGGGAGAGAAAAAGTGTGATTGCAGAACTTCTGGATAAATTAGTGGAGCGCAGAGATAGATTTAAGAAGTGGATTGCATCTCCAAACTCCACTACTGCTGCTAGTTTTGTTGCAAGGATGGAAAACCATCCACAGATCAAACAGGTAGCGCTCTGATGCAGGTATGTGAACTTTCTTCCATTTTTTTCCAGAAATTCTGAAAATATAAATCACACCAAGGAACGATGGTGACGGAGGATGTGGGATTTCAGGGTTAGAGAGCTCTGCTCTGATGGATGTCAGTTCCTGCTTGGTTCATCATGACTCAATCAACTGCTCCCAAGAGAAAGACGTCAACCACAGAAAGATTCTTTTATTGTGTTTCTATAATTTCATCAATGCAACAAAACTTAAACCGCGTGTGAAGGGCGGTGAAGCGCTGTGCAGAGAAGCGCTGTGCAGTGAAGCGGCATGTGGTGAAGCGGCGCAATGGGAGCATTTCCTGCTTTTCCCTCACCTCATGCTACTATGGGACATTTGCCCCAGGATAAACAATTAATCATGAATGCTTATTTTATATTTAAGCCCATATAGTCATTTTCTATAGTGGGGTAATACACTTAAAGCCCGTGTTCCCATACGAGGCATATATCAGACTTTTACATTTTTGCGGCTCCAGACAGATTTATTTTGTGTTTTCTTTGGTCCAATATGACTCGTTAAGCAGTTGGTGTTGCTGACCCCTGATCTAAACTCTTTTACAAAGCCCAGCTGTGTTTTTCAATATTTGCCCTGCAACCCACATTTCTGCCCCAGTCTCAAGGCTTTTACAGTGTTCTTGCTGTATTGCACAAAATTCAGCTACAGCCTAAGATGGTCAAAAAATGTACTAATCCTAGGTGTAAGGCCAAGCTCGCAGAGGGGAGGATGAATGTGCAGATATGAAGGTTGAGTGACCTTGCTCGCACACACGCACACACACACAGAAAGAGCTGATTTTGTAGAAGCAGAAAAACAACAGAACAAGAAACAACATATACAGAGATGGAAACTATAGGGAGTATGAATACTGTGTATCTGCTTGAGAGACAGTTTGCGTAGAATTGTAAGATTTTCCCTGATAAAGATAAATAAAACGAGCCAGCCCGGGGAGAAAGACAGTGTTGCTTGCAGATACTGGCTGCAATTCCTCTCCCTTTGCAAAGGTCAACAGAAGCTGGGTAGTCTCTGTCATGTATTTCACTCCCTCTGAAGTTAACTTGCATTCAAATATCTGGACCGGGGGAAGCTGAGACAGCTTCAAAATGTTGCTAAGACCAACATCTGTTAAAGAGGGCCACTATAACAGCATGAAACTGCAAACTGCGCTGCCCTATGTGCACTGCTAGCTTTTCCTACTAGTTTGTGTGTGTGTGTGTGTGTGTGTGGGTGGGTGTGTGTGTGTGTGTCTGTGTGTGTGTGTTTTTTTAGATAAGGGGTGCATAAAGGGGTCTGTCTGGAACTGCCTTTCTAAACTATTCCTTTAAGTACATACCAGGAGAGACCGGATAACAGAGAAATTCAAACAACACGGACCACTCTGACCCTCCCAGCTTTAAGCCCAGCTGTACTCAAACTGTGCGACTGTTACCCTTTTAGAATCAGACCTTTCATGTGTTGCGCTTTAACTGTTTTACAGATTTTTCTATACATAGAAAAATCATATAAAACCATAGCACATTCTGCAGATGTTTAACTTAACTAAAACTTAACTAATGTTAAGTTTTTAACTAACTTAACTAACTTACTGATGTTTAACTTAACTAACTAAAAAGTTAAAGGTTTGGAAATACATAACAAAGAAAACATATTATTTAACATGGTAACACCATGTCTTTTATGTATTCTTTAAAATTTGTAAGATGCATCTGCAGCTAGAAGAAAAGATATACTAATAATGCATGGAAGATTAGCCTTTTTTTAGTTGGAGACACAATACAGTTGCATCTGCAGTGAAAAAGTCAATTTCTTCCAGCAGATTGGAGGTTTTAAATTCCTTATACGCTATTTAAACAATTATAAATGACTTGTATAGTTGAAAATTATTTCAATAATTAACCAACATTGATTATGTGATAAAACAGTTTCAGCCCTGTTAACCATGAAAGAAAGACAAGTTGGCTGTGCACAGTACTCTACAAATTAACTTCTTTAGGCTGCATCCTTTTTTGCTGATAAATGGTTTGTTTCCTAAGTGGCAGCAAGGCACAGAAATCCCCCATAAAGAACCTGACAACTGTGGCAGCAGTTGTGTAGTTCAGGAGAAAAAAAATAAAATAACTGACCAGAACACAGAGCAGAAAAGCACAACTTCCTGCCTCCTTATCACATCCTATTCTTTCACAAACGGTTACTTTAACTTCACAGTTAGCCAATCAAGACGTTATTTGGCACAAGAGACTTGTACCAACACAAAATGCCTGCATGCCTACACAAAATATGTGTTTCCTTTGAAAATTATTTACCCCCCGTTAAAATCAGCAAGTTGAAATTGACTTAATTTAAATAGTGTTTCATCTATTTATGGCCAGCCTCTCAGGGTTTGGGAGGAAGTTTCCTCCTCACACTAAGCTGAGCGATCATTTATACTATTGAGGAACAGTCTGAGGTATTTTACATCACTCGCTCAAAAGTGTGAAATTGTTGAAGAGTAATTTCTTATTATTTTATTTTCTGTTCTAAACAACTACTATTTCTATAAGTCTGCTAGTTAGGTCAGGTAGAATGGCATTGGAATGTTTAAACTCTGATACACAGAGAGGGTCAAGCATCACCTTATATGGTAATACTGTTATGAGGCTGGCAAAGGCAGGAAACTGGAGCTTGGTATTTTTGTAAGAAGCTCCTCCCTGTAGGGTGAGGGATTTTTGGATAAATTGAAAAACTTTTACCAGTTCTGGGCCATTTGAGCTGTTCAGACATGTATGGTCAAGAAGACAGGCCTAAGACAAAGAAGAAGCAGACTTCCTCTGCAAATGTTGTGTCTACCAATGATTTTGTTAAACATGGAATAAATTCTGTCACTGCTTAAAGATCTTTCTCTCTTTCTTTCTTTCTTTCTTGTACCTTTTCTGGGAAACATTCCTCCTCGGATTAGAACCGGGTGACCAAAATAATGAATGAACACATGCTATAATTCTACATTTAAAACATTTGCAGTGAAGTTTGAAGAGACATGATCCAAAGTACGACATAAATTACTAAATGAATCCTGAGGAGTGACAATGATGCAACAAGTTTAACAGTGAAAGAAAAAGATTCAGGAAATTAAGGTGATTTTTCTGCAATGATCCAGTCACTTAACACAATGTTTATTTATCAATACTAAATATACTGGTCATCAGCATTAGTCTTAACGCTGGCTTAGGGTAATTAGAGATATAAAGAGGACACACTATGCTTTTAGATAATTATCTGATGTTACCTTGCAAGCAAGATGAATTTTCGTAATATATTTCTAAATTCCAAAACTCCCGAAAATTCATCTCGCCAGAAGCCAACATGTGCATCAGCCCCGATACGGAAATGTTTCAGACCGATGAAATGCAGTGACATGTATGACATCGACACGACATACAGAGGCAGAAGGCTGAAGCAAAACCAACATGGCTGCGCCAGCTTCAGCTGAAATACCCTCAATTTCTTGTTTAAATTTAGTTGAGTGTGGGAAGATTTTTGCATGTTCCTCCTGACCGGATTTGTTAAGAGTTTGATTTATCAGTTAAATCTATGAAACAAATCAATAATGTGATTGTCTCAGCTGCAACAGGTGCTGTGCCCTTTCAAGAACATGTTATACAAGAGACTTCCAAAATTGACAAACGTATCACATATATACATCTGGCTTATGCCAGGTTATCTATAGCCTCTTTCCCACTGAAAATAACTGGTTTACATGTGTTTTTCAACACAATCGCTAAAAATCGGCGTTTGGCCAGCAAAAAAAGCTGGTCTCCCCTCGCTGGCAAGCTGCATTTCCTCTTTCCCCCTGCAGCTGCATGCCTGGCGACCCCATCACACTGTGTTAGTGTTAATGATCTGTGACATAAATCAATAAGGTAAAGAATGGAGTGCAACATTTAAGGAAGCCAGGGCGTAGTCCCTGTGCTTTAATCTTTCACTCTATTATCTTTCCAAATCCCTCTTTACAACGATGTGCCATGTTTTATCAATGTAAACAGAGTTGTTTCAGCTTATTTAGATCAGACATGGCTGGCGTGGTGCGTTGACGTCCGTCCGTATTTTTCTTTGTTTTCAACACCCCTTTTATCGCTGCACTGCTTGTTTACAGACTTGGAAAGAAAAGGGATGTCGCTGGAATAAAAGGATCTTTGTTATTCTGAATTTACTTTGTGGTTTATCAATCACAAAGTAGCATAAGCTTGTTGTTGATCATGAGAATACACCGTTTTGTGTTGGTTGTTTGCAGGACTAAAGTGCAAATAGAAACCAAACTTAAAGTAAAGGACACAGAACACAGGCAGAGAAAAAGGGAACACGGAAGCCAAAAGGCAAGAGAAAAGTTTATACACAAAGGAAAGAGAGGAGAAAAGCCAGGCAACAGAGTAATGAATAGAAGCATGTAGAGGGGAACATTGAGAGGAAGTCAGAGTTACCATACAAAATTAACACAAGATTTAACAGAAAAGATATGAAAACTAAAATGGAAACAACTGAAGAACATTAATAGCAGGAAAATAACAGAGACCGTTATAAAAAAAAAGCCCAAACAACTATGGATTGTGACCGTACAGAGTAAAGACTTACCACTAAAAACAATGCGGCACATTTATAAAAGTTGAGTAGAACAAATAAAAAATGTGCCTAATGGTAAAAAAAAAAAAAAAAAAAAAAAGGATCACGTTGGGAACAATATTTGCATATGCTCAAATTTAAAATGTGTTAGAAACATTTCTAAACCAAAAAAACAAAGGATAAAATCGCCTACTTTCCTCACCTGAGTGGAAATGCAGATAGAGGGAACTTTGGCTGCTCCCGTGTGAGTTGTTTGCCACACACTGGTACAGGCCATTCAGATCAGAGGTCCCACTGCTAAACATCAGCCTTCCATCTTGAACTGTGATGGAGGAAGGTAAAGGGTTGCCTGACCTGAAAAACAAAAAGCGTAACATTTCTATCAGTTAGTGGAGTTACAATTATAAACCTCTCAATGAAATTACTATTCAGGAATAATCTATGTAACCATTAATCCTGTTTAGCATCGATGGCAGTAAATGATCTAGTTTTATTCAGAATTTTTTATTTTTATTCTTTAATGTATGTATGTAAATTCCTTTATTGTCCCACAATGAGGAAATTCTCTGCATTTTAACCCATCCCTTTGGGGAGCAGTTGGCTGCCATTTTGCGGCGCCGGAGGAGCAGTGTGGGGTTAAGGGTCTTGCTCAGGAACCCAGAGTGGAGGCTGTGGATATTGAACTTGGTACTGGCAACCTTCTCTAAGCACAAGCGCACTGCTTTAACAACTAGGCCAACACTCCCCAAAAAATATAGTCAACACTAGATTAAATTACCCAGCTGGTGAGGAACACAGAACAATGCAACATGAGCAATCTTGGGGGGGTAGATGTGATATAAGATTTCTTCTTCATGTCAAAATATAATCCCTACATATAAACATAAACATATATACCTTTTCTCTCTGAAAAAGCTTTTTAAATTTGCATAAAAATGTGTAATTACATTTTTTTTTTTACAGTGTACTGTCTGGTGATGTGGCATTAAGAATAATTGTCTTAAAACCAATAGAGCCCCACAAATTTTACTTTCATGAGTGGAGCAGTATGGTTATTGCCATAGTGTTCCGCTTGATTTATACATATAAATTGCTTTATTATAATTATGCAGGGAGTTTTACAGATTATATGGACACTGCAATGTAAGTAGAACAGGAAAGGAAAAAAAGAAAAAAAGGAGAAAAGATCAAAGAAAGAGAAGATAAAAGGGAGATAACAATAAAACATTTTCAGTTTGCTTCATCACCTGCAAAGAGATGTAAAAAGAACAGCACAACCAACCTAGTTGATTTTATGGGCATAGCGAGCACCAAAGCACAATTAACATACGGTATGTAGCAGCACGTCAAAATGTAGCATGACAAAGCAGCCACAACAAGCAAGCATGTCTTTATAACTGTTGTTCAAAAAAATACCTATTATTTTTGATAATTAAAAAACAACTTTGAGTCTTGCTTGAACTAATGCAGCTTGGGTGTTTTACTCACCCAATTTTTATGAATATATCCAGAAACTAGAAGGTGTTAGCTTTCAAATAATGTATAGCACATGTAATTTGGGCTTACAGTTCCTCAGTTATTTGCTTTTCCATTTGGGTATGCAAAATAGGCGCGAATTTCCCAAAATTTGGTGGATATTAAGAGGTTAATATTTAACACGTGAGGCTTGTTCTAGTGTGCCAACAAGAAATTGCTAGGAGGGATCTACCAGGATTGCAAGCATAAATACAGGTGGAAAAGTTGAAGGGACCGCCCTGATTTAGTGAGGAATTTGCATGTGCTACTGGTTTCAAACAGGTGAAAGAATTTAATATATATAAAAAAAAAAGATGGAAACTATATTTAAAGAAAATAATATGCAGCCACAACAAAGACTATGCAATGGTTTGTAACTGGGGAAGCCAATATATTGTGAATCTCAGACACGTTTTAATTAGAATATATCTAACAATTTCAAAGAGAGAGGAGTGCGATGAGCCGCACATGTAACTCATTGTCTCTAATAAGCATCCTTGCTGCTCCATTTATTTTATTTTTTTTACTATATTCCCTTTTATTTTCACAGCTCATACATAATAATTAGACAGAAATACCACAGGTCCAAATACCGTGACTCATACAGTATTGCAAAAGCAAACAAAAAAAGAGGAAGACGAAACATTGAAAGATAATATATTTTAAAGATACTGTTAAATGCACAAATACACAAAGTAGCAAAATATTGATCTGTTCCAGAACCTATTGCCATAATAAGGCAATCATGGGACTCCACCTTTTCCTCAGTAATGGACGAGCCCAGATAAAGGCAGTGACACATCAAAGGATTATCTAGTGCTCCATCTTCTGAGGGCTCAAGTTGACTGACAACAAAAAATTGCTGATATAACATCTGTCACTGTTGTCGTTTCATACAATGAGTAGCTAACTGTCAAATATAAGCAAAGAGATGATGTGAACCTTTTGTTTTAAAAACAATCAATATGTTAGACATCCCGTCAGTTTTTTCTTTACAACCCTGCAAAAATATCTAGGATTTACGGAGCCCATAAAGTAAGGATTCTAGTAAAGTAAACAGTTTTTTTCCCCCAATCTTTTCTGCGTCGTTCTTTTTTTTTTTGCCTCTTTGCAAACTAAGCTCACTCCTGTGTCATTAGATCTTTCCCCATATTGGAAGGCTGTTAGTCTATGCCCAGGTGAGGAGCAATGATGCTGCATTTGATTGATCAGAAAAAGAGACAAAACACATCGACCAGCTGCCGGTTCAGCTTGGCAGTCCAGCAGTTTGGGAATCCTTCCTAACCTGGACACTGCCCTCATACTTTTACTTAAAAACCAGTGTATGGGCCTAATTTCAGTTTAGGTGTGACAACTTGTTTAGCTTTATAAGAGGATTGTAATTTAGAAAATGGAAAGAAGAGAAATTCTCTGACCAGAAAAATAAAATCATATTTCAAAATAACATATTTCTGAGCTTAGTTTTATTTTTCTTCCATACCTTTTCAAACATTTATAGATTGTACAGGAATTCTGTATTACAGTTAGGCATCTTGATTTAAATCTAAATCAGTACAAGGCTTTCAAATCAAAGTTGTAGCACATGTTTTGCTGCAGCATTTCAAAGCATTCAATACAGAGAACTACGGGATGTGTTTTGCCAACTGTCTTTAAAATTGCTATGCAGCACATAATTTTAGTCTGAATAAAATGTATGTCCTTAGAGATGCAAAACCAGACTAACAAGTCCAGACCACATTTGCCGCAGTGGCAGAAGATGGTTTCAAATCAACAGCGACCTAACAATTATCAGGTTTTAGAGGAATGAAGACTGAAAAAAATAGGATTTAGCTGTTGTGTAAGTGGCTCTGGTGGTGCATCTAAGGAGCATTCAATCTCGTTTTAATTTAGCGTAAAAAAAAAAAACATGTCTGTTTCTATTTTTAAATCAACCTAAAACAACCCGCTCATTCTTGTTTTGGATCAGTAACTTCAGTCCAGGTATGTAGCTGCTAACTACAGAACTGATCTGCTGTATATATTGCAGATCGTACAAAATAAACCATGGGACAGAAGTTCATGGAATAAGCAAAGTATTACTAGGATGAAGATGTCGGTCCTTCCATCAGTTCCATCAGTAACCTGACACATCAACAACTATACAGGATATCTCTAGAGCTAAGGATATAAGAGTTATTTTAGAAATTGTATAAACTTGGGGGTAGCATTAAAATTAAAAAACAGTATTCAGAGCCATAATTCATAGTGACATTTACTTTGTTTTTTTTTTCTTATTTAATTCCTTGAGGAAATCGAGCAGTTGTATATTGGTTGCAAGAATGTTTAGAAAATCTGCAAATTATTTATGTGTTAGTGTTCAGCCCTCCAGTAAGACATAACATTAAAATGCAGATGTTTAATTATTATGGTAGGGTTAAATTTAAGCCAGTAAATATGCTCTGTAACAAAGGAAATACTTTATAAGCCTAACAAGGTATAGAGGACAACCTTTTATTTCCGGGTGGATCATCTAAATAAGTGGTCCTCCTTATTGTCAATCATTCTGGTGATATGTTTACGTAAGGCAGTCCTACTGTTAAAAAAAAGTGCCTACGAAGTGTATGAGAAGAAAAGAAAGGCCTCAGGAGAGGCAGATATAACCCGGAGTACTTTGCACGGAGAGCTCCCCCTGCAAAGCATTATGGGATTTGCTCTCACAGCAGCCTGCTGTCGCCATAGGCTGTCGCTACCCAACAGCGGTGACTAATAACAAAGATAGAGCAGATACCATGCAGTGAAGGAGGAGTTACATGACCAACAGAGGAAAAAGCAGTGATCATCTGTCTAACTGGTAAATCAACTGAGTTCGCTATATAGTCCCCGCTCTATATAGTGATTGAGGGATTTAAGGGTTAGGGCGGATGTTTGGGCACAGTAAGCTTGTATGAGCTATGAGAACATTTTTCTGTAGTGGAGAGGGAGGGTCTTTTGAAAAAGTTCACGAAAATGCTCCACAATACCTTTAATATTGAACCATCTGCTTTTAGCTGCAATTTACTGGTAAAAGCCAGTCAAAAAAAAGCACTTTAAAATGTATTATATTTAAAAAGCAGATATTTAAGTTTTAAAAAGCTACTTACTCAGCTAAAAATATCTGAAATGTTAATTTTGGGGCACAGAAAGCTGCGTCAGCTTTACCAATCGGCTTTGACCAGCAATAAATCTTGGGATATGAAGGGCTATCAGGAGAAAACTGGACCTGGCCTTCAAATCTAAAGACTAATTTCATTTCAATTCAG